TCTAAGACAAACTAAAAAAAACCGGCAAGTGTTGTTGGGAGAAAGGTGATCGTGGCCTGTCGCACGAGCTGCTGTTCCACTAGAAGGGTGCATTGATGCGCGTCGGAGATCGAGTCGGGAACAAATAAATTCAACGTGTCTTGAATTGTCAAACACAACATGACGATATACCAGAAGACGAGTTGTTATGTCGTCTCACGCACGGAGAACCTCGTAAGAAGACGATAAAAATCGTCGGTGTATTCGTTCACCGACTGCGAAACCTGCCTCAGATTTTACAAACGTTGATACACCGTACATAAATAATTAAAAACAAAAAACTCACGCTCAATTAGTGCTGTTAAATTAAATGAGCCTGACTTGGCTCAGCTCGAGTTCGAGGCCTTAACGAGCCGAGCTCGAGCTCATTTAAAGCTCGGCTCCAGTTCGGCATTGTTCGACGATTGCTGTGACAAGCGGTACTGAAAGCCAGGGTGAGCTCCTCGATCCTCGAGGTTAGATCTTTCATGTGATGGTCAGTCGTCTCGAATCGTTGCATCAGTGCATCGGTGGCGGCATCAAGTCTCTCATCGACATTGTTCCCCTTCGGAGGCATCGTGGATCGTTTTGATCTCTGGATACTAACTGTTATAAATAAAGCGTACGAAAAGGAAAACAAGAGATAAAAATTTCAAACTTATATTTTTATTTTTCATTCAACCACCCCCTTAAACTAAGAAGATGAGTTTTCTTAGGTGAAACTCCTACAAAGTCCTAAATTAGTTAACTTGTCTACAACGAAAATGATTAGAAAAAGAAACAAATATTACCAACCAAATCTAATAATGCAAATAATAGTAAAAACAAAAATAAGGAAATTAATAATTAAATTAATAACGATAAACGATCATACTTCTCCAAGAAGGTCTGCGATTTCGTCTTCATCACTTTTGTAGTACATAGTTAGTGACAGATATTTAGTTGTAGTCAAAGTAATATTTTGGTTTGCTAACAAACCATTGCAATGCCACCCAAATTTTATTTTTCTGTCTGAAACTGAGAAACCTTTAGAATTCTCTAAAACTGTGTGTTAAAAAATTGTGGTTCTTTAATAACTGGAGGAGCATTGAACCTAGGGGTCAGAGTGGTGGTCTCCTGCTGATGTGGGCCAAGGATATGGATACCAAGCAAGTTTTATGCACTGACTTCTGTTTTGAAGTTGAATTCAAAGAGGAAGGATCTTCATCCACTTCCTGGCTTATCCTTATATATGCTAGCACTGACAAGTAGATCAGAAAGAGTCAGTGGGCTTACTTACTTAATGCTAAAGACAAATGGGGTTCAAATTGGGCCATAGGGGGAGATTGGAATGAAATTTGCTCTCAAGAAAAGAAGAAAGGGGGGAGATTAAGGCCTGCTAACAGCTTCCAGGACTTCAACGACTTTATTGCAGAGATGGGAATGGAAGATATCAATATGAAAGGATATAACTTCACCTGGTGGAACAAAAGAGAGCAAGCAGAGCTCATTGAAGAAAAGTTAGGCAGAGTTTTTGGCTCCTTCAATTGGTTAGCTGAGAATCCTAACTCAGTTATACTAAACCTATTTCAAAGCTCTTCAGATCATTCAATGCTTATCATGGACTCTCAGACCAATAAAGACATAGCCAGGAAAAAGAGGTTTTATTTTGACAAACAGTAAAAGGGGTCTGGGATCATCAATAACAGGGCACTCCAATGCACATCATGAGGGAAAAAAAAAAACCAGAATTGCTTTGTTGATTTGGAGTAGAGCCCTAAACTCTTCAAATTCTCAAAACATTGCAAAGCTTACTTTGAGCTTGGAAGAAATGAGAAAAGCTGGAGGGCAGCACAACTGGGAAGAGTGGGGAAAACTCAAGCTTGAGCTGGATGCAGCCCACACTTCAGAGGAGCTTTTCTGGCAACAAAAAGCCAGATCCTGCTGGCTTAAATAAGGAGATAGGAACACCAAATTTTCATGCCTTGACCATGCATAGAAGGAAAACTAACTCTATCACAAGATTGGTGAATGGTTCTAATGAAGTGGTTGAAAGCCAAGAAGACATTGGAAAATTTGTAGTGGATGTTTATGATAATCTTTTCTGCTCAGAGGGCTCAAGAGGGGAGAATGAGATTTTGCCATTAATCCCCAAGACAATCACTGAAAAGCAAAACAAAGAGTTAACCTCTGAAGTAACTGAGGATGAAATTAAAAATGCTCTCTTCTATGAACCCTGGGAAAGCACCAGGAGAGGATGGGATGTCTCCCCTGTTCTTCCAGCACTTTTGGCTTGTGATCAAGCATGACCTCTGTAAAGCAATTCAGAGTTTCTTCCAATCAGGCAGGTTGCTCAAAAGCTGGAATCACACCCTCATAACCTTAATCCAAAAGTGCAACAACCCTACAACTCTTAGCCAATTCAAACCTATCAGTCTATGTGGAGTTTCATACAAGATCATCTCAAAGGTTCTGACAACAAGACTCAAAAGCTGCCTTTCTTCTTCTATCAGTGAGTGCCAGGCTGCCTTATTGCCTGATAGACAACTCATGGACAACGTTATTATAGCTCAAGAGGCTATACACTGGCTGAACAGACACAGAAATGGAAAAAAAATTCTACATGGCTATCAAATTGGACATGATGAAGGCATTTGATAGACTAGAGTGGAATAGTGTGCTTAAAGTCTTACTGAAGATGGGTTTTGACAGCATGTTTGTGAGGTGGGTCTGTGCCTGCATCACCTCAACATATTTTTCCTTCAACTTAAATGGTTAGCTTTATGGATATGTCACTCCTACTAGTGGCATCAGACCGGGGGATCCCCTATCCCCCTATCTGTTTATACTGGTGTTTGAAGTGCTCACCAAGATTATCAATGATGCTGTGAGTAGGAATCTGTTCCAAGGCTTGAAGTTATCTAGAAATGGGCCTCAAATCACTCACCTGCTCTTTGCAGATGACTCACTAGTGTTCTGTGAATCCTCCTGCCTACAAAGCCAAAATCTTCTTGAAATATTAGATAAATACAGATCATTCACAGGTCAATCAGTGAATTTGGAGAAATCAACATCAATCTTCAGTGCCGTTTGTTTTGCAGCAGCAGATATGCAATGTCTTGCTTGGAATTTCTGTGCATAGATCATCTAAATACTTGGGCATGACTTTGGGTATTGGGAAATCAAAAAAAGATGTCTTTGACTCTGTTCTGGTGGCTGTTAAAAAGAAGCTTCATAGTTGGAAAAATTCTTTCCTATCCACAGCTGGCAAAGAAGTCCTTATCAAGTCTGTGATTAATGTTATTCCCACCTTCTTGATGTCTGTGTTCTTGTTGCCTAAAGGAATTTGCAAAGAGATCTCAAGGCTTTGTGCTAGCTTCTGGTGGAGTTTTGGAGATCAGCAAAATAAAGGTATGCATTGGAAATCTTGGCATTGGCTGGCTACTCCAAAGGAATGGGGAGGTTTGGGTTTCAATGATGTTCTGCTATTCAATGAAGCCTTTGTTTTGAAACAGATTTGGAGACTCCTAACTTCTCCTAACCTTCTTGTGTCCAAAATCTTGAAAGCTAGATACTTTCCTAAAAGTTCTGTCATTGAGGCACAGAGATCACAGAGCTCTTCATGGGTTTGAAACTGCTGTATGACGATCAAGGAAAAATATAAGCATTGTTTTTTAGAGACATCAAAGACGGGTTCAATACTAGAATCTTGGAAGATCCTTGGATACAGATCTTGCATAATAGGGCTCATCTGCTTATGATTGGTAATGGGCCCAAACCTACTATGGTCTCTGAACTTCTAACAGAGGGGGGTAGAGGCTGGAATATAGCTCTTCTCAAAGAGCTTTTTGATGAGCCTGTTATTGAACAAATTAGGAAAATCAGAACCCTTGACCCTATGAAAAAATATAGATGGGCTTGGAAGCTTGATATAGCTGGTCACTACTCTGTCAAATCTGCATACTTTGTTTTTATCAAAAATAAGCTGCTGCGACTGGATAAAGCTGAAGGAAGCGCATCGGCGGCTAAAGATAGAATGGATAGGCTTAGATGTGGAAGTTGGACATTAAAGGCAAAATCAAACACTTTATGTGGAAGTATTTTACGGGTACTCTACCTGTTGTAGACACTCTTAACAGCCGAGGTGTGGAGCTAGATAATATTGCAGATGTTGCGGCGCGGAGAAAGAAAGCATTGTCCATACCTTATTCCACTGCAGACGAGCCTCTCAGGTCTGGAAACTTTCTGTTCTCAAATGGGACTTTTGCAGCCAAAGATCGGGTTCCTTCAATGATTGGTGGTGGAGTATCTCAGAGCTCAATAAAACTGAAATATCGGAATCCCGTATCCCACTCTCAACGTACATTCTATGGTGGCTGTGGAAGGCCCGTAATCTCTGGGTTTTTCAAAAAGAATGGATGCCGGAGAAATTGATCGTGGACGGCGCTTGGCGGGAATGGACGGAATTCAAATATCGCAAGCTTTCTTTGGGTTAATGCTGGACTGCCTTTGTTGATTAGGTTCTGTTGTTCAGTTTTCAACAAATGCTTCTAGTTTCTTTGTTTTGTAGGTGTTGATGTGTGGTTTAGGATATAGGTGTCGAGTGATCAACTTTGCCTATAATCCTTGTTAGTTTGTTGATTGGGTTCTAGGGCACTTATTGCAAGTGTTCCTCCATTAATATTATATCCGAATTAGTTAATCCGCCGCATTGTAATATTTTTTCCTTTAATGAGAATTCCTATCGTTTCAAAAAAAAAAGTAAGGCAAAAAAAAGAAAAAAAAAATCATGTTTGAATGGAAGGATATTTGGGCCTACAAACCAATTAATAAAACTAGATTGAATAAAAAAAAAAAATTACTAAAATCACAACATGCAAAACCCAAATCCAATCCAATCACACTTCGACAAACAAATTCAATTCTGAATCCAATTAACAAAACTAGACAATAAATAAAAGTTACTAAAAAGACAACATGCAAACAAATCCAATCCACTCTAGTCACAACTTGAGAGACAAATCCAGGCCCGAATCATTATCGGGCTCTTGATCATTCCTAAGATTATACATCCTAGTCCTATTCTCGTCTACTCCTACATTCTCACGAGGCCTCCTCCCAGACCCACCAAAACCCAACAAGTTTGAGAAAATGGGCCTAGAGTGGCCCGAACTCCCGGATCCGACGTTTGGGAACCCGAAAGTGGAATCCTGTCTCAAAAATCGAGGAACATTTCTTGGCCTGGGCCCGCCTGATAGTCCTATAGGGGCGCCGTAGTTGATATGAATTCCAGGTTGTTGAGGGGTATGAGGGACATTGTACAGAAAATTAAAAGAAGATCTATCCAAAAAATTGTGAGATCTACTATATGGACCGAAAAAAGGGCCCGTTGGGCCCATCCCCGGGTAAGCCATCGGGCCGGGCCCAGTGTTGTAGCCGAAATGCACATTGTTCTGCATTTCTCGTGCAGATTTCTCAACCGCACGCTCGACCTTGTGCGCGTTTTGGTGTCCGCCCAATGCTTGTTTGTTGGAGAACTTCTTGTCGCAGTACGTGCATCCGTACTCGCGATCCTCATTGGGCTCCGAGGCTTGTTGGGCCTCTGGATCCCATGGGCCCAAATGATCCTCCATGTCCTTGCTCGATACATCCGAAACGGCTCGGTTTGGGCGGGAGGGATGATCCATTAGAGAAGCAAAATGAGTCAACTTCCCCCTTTTTGTTTTGGATGGTATGGTTGGTAAAGACAAGTGAATTTATAGTGGGAAGATAATGGAGAATGATAAATCAGATTGGATAGAGCCAAGATAGAAATACAGTAAATGTAATGCTAGTTTTATATATAGTAGTATAAAGGCAATATGACATCAAATTTTATTCTTAAGATGCCAGTTTTTATTGTAACCATATATTGCTTATAGTGCAATTGTGCTTATCTCTCATATCCTTGTTGATTTTAAGGATGCTAACCTTAAAAACTTGATGTTTAACTAATATAACCTGTGCGATGCACGGACTGTATTTATTTTAGAGAATATTATAAAAGAGTTATAATATTAGAGAATTTGTCAAATCATAAAATGTTCGTAATGAAAACTTTATATATTATTAAAATTTTCTTGTATACAATATTATTAGTTTGATACTTGACAACTCACCGTCCCCACACAATTATATTTTCAACCATTTTCTAGTACTTACACGCAAAATAACAACATATAATTGGTCGTGACTAAAAACCGATTTCTTTATGAGAAGATCAACGTGCGATAAAGGCAGTCCCTAACTCTTGTTCAGGATCGGGGCATACCAAACCATAAGTTGAAATTGCTACCACTGAAACTTAAATGGAACTCACTAAAATCAGAATGATTTATTTATGACTGATAATTTACTTGGCGGTTCGACAAATGAGCCGTTAGTTTGTCATTTCAATATTGATTATACTTGATTAGCAAAATTAATATATTTACTAATATTTTTATTTTTTTATCACTAAATTCTTAAATCCATGAGAGATAACTACTTATGAATGCATTTTATTATATATAGATTTATATTTTATGTTTGAATAACTTGAGAGACTATTCTTATTTTAAATAATTGTTAAATAGTATATTTTATTTCATTCTATATGTGCAATTAAATACTAAACTTAATAATACTTTAAAAAAATTCAACACTGGTAGGTAAGGGTGAAGTCGCCGAAGCGAGTCTAAAGGCTATTTCTTTTTATTTATGCATACAATATGAGTGTCGAGTCAAAGCGTGTAAAACAAAGGTTAATTTAATAAATACAAAATAAATAATAAACAAAAAGGATTTCATGTTTTTAATAAAGCGATGGAATTGATACTTAATAAGAAAAAAACATTCAACGATATGAAAACCAAAAAGAAAATAAATCAAAGGTCGAAAATTTCTAATCCAGATGTTTTAGAAAATATTTTATTTTCACACACACACACACACACACACACACACACATATATATATATATATATACACTTCTAATTATCATTTCATATAACCATATTCGTTAATTTATATTTTACAAATCAAATAAAATTCCAGATAAAGGAGAAATGGAATAATTGATTGTAAGTTTTTGCTAAGTTTAATTCAAATTATTGGTTTTATATCACTTAAAAAGTAGATTAAGTAGAAAAGGTTTTAAAAGTTTAACCATTAAATTTACATCAATTATTGATTTTACATTACCTAAAATAAAAATAAAAAGTCTTACAACATATGGTAAAAAAATAAAAAAAAAAAGGAAACAAAAAAAAGCAATATATATATATATATAACTCAAATTATTAAATATTTTGTATTATTAAATCATTTTGGGGGTCTCTGTAATAAATGTTAATGTAAAATTGGAAAAGAAAAGGTCATAAGATAAACAAATGGTAAAAATTACGATCAATATTTGTTAACTGGGAAAAAATTATGAATGTGATAACAATAATGAAGACTCATGCATTGATTTTACATATACACTTTCAAAGAAATCAGGAGTATTTGATTCTCACTATTTTTATGTAGACATAGATTGAAAAATCCATAGCATTTTTAAGAAAATCTTTCAAGGAAATCAGGAGATTTGATTCATATTAGTTTTAATATATTTTTCTTATAAAAGGCACACTTAAATAAATTCTACTAAGATTTGAATCCAAATTAAGTACCCTGCATTTTAGGTAATTAAAAAAAAATAAAAAGTTGTTATCATTAGACTGCATTAAATGTTGGCGGTTTTTTTTGCTACTATTTTTAGTAAATAAGTTGTCTCTTAATATATTATATATAGATTTGGAATTAGAAATTCTTCCATGAAAACTTATTTGCATTCAAGAGAAAAAATAATGATAAAAATAACATTTTTTTTATATACAATTAAAAATACAATAAATGATAGTATATATTAAAACTGTTGATGGAATCAATGATATTTAATTACTTAAAATAAATGATACTAACGTGCATTAAATATTTACATATTTTAAAGTGGTTTGTTTGATTTACCGTCTATGTTATCCTCTTATTACGAAGAGTTATTGAGGGCTATCTCTAGACGTTAGGTTGTTCGAACCATTTAACCAAATGTTCTTAGCTTGATATTTGCATTGGTTAGAAAATCATTATCCCCGACTCCCTAGCTTCTCCATCGTCACATGATTCATATTTTCGGTTGATTTATGTTTTTGCATTATTTTATAGTTCTTAGTTGATAAAACCATCCATCTTGATTAGTGTGTTTAGACTTTATTTTACTCTTGTTTGTTATCAACACTGAATTTCTAAATTTCGAACCGCCTACCTCGAGAGATCGACCCGGGGAAAGAATTTATTTTATTCGGTACTCGGTAAAAAGAAAAATAATTTCCTACAACACTTAATTATTAGTCATTTGTCCTTAAGAAGTTAAATATTACCCTCTTAAGTTGTTACAACACACTCCTAGAAAATAGTTGTGTTTACCTTGTCCAAATAATCTTTATTATATCACAATTACAAGAAAAACATCCTCTGATGTTGAACCCGACTAAAAAAATCCATAATATTGAACCCGACAAGAAAAAAGTGTTGAACCCGACAAAAAAAACAAAAAAAAAAACATCCCCTGATAATAAAACCAAATCTTTTTCCCATAAGGTGATTGAAAAGGAGAAGAGGAACATGAACAAAGAGGACCCAAAGACTATGAAAAGTTATCACAGGCTTGAAGAAATAAAAGACAACAGAAGATTCAAGCCCGACTAATAGCATTCCTTTAGTGGGTATGATAAGTAACTCTTGTTAGAATTTAGGATTTTTAAATGTATGGAGGGCATTAGAGATACATTTAATTCTAAATTTGACATGTTGTCCATTAAATAAAGTTAAAAAAAATAAAAAAAATACATTGTTGATCAACTTTTTTAACTAACAATTAAACATTTACAAATACAAAAAAAAAAAAAAA